TTTTACGTTAGTCTTATCGTCCAATAAATCTAGGTAACAAACATTTCTGCATTCATCTAATTTCTAAAAAAAATTAATTCTTTCCACGTTTTTACCCATTGTATAACGTCGAGTAAATTAAACGAAGTCGTAGGCTTCCGCGGCCAGAGTCATGTGCGTGATCTTGGCGGTCCACGTCGAAGGCTGTTTTGCCGACGATTCGACCAACTTGTCATGGTCTTCCACACAGCTTGGTATTCATACCAATCGCGGTATTCCTGACGGGTGGTATTCATACTAGCCCAGATCAGCCAGATTGCCAAGATAACGCAGACGAATAAATTAGTTCGTGAGCATAATGCATGTATCAGTAATGTCCTTCGCGCGCATCCTCTCACTTCATTATATTACCTTCCGCCTTCATCATATGAGATTAAAAATGTAAACTATATCTCTTTTTAAATTCTCTTTTGGTTTCAACATAAATATACTTTTGGAGATAACTTAGAAAAGTACAGCATCCATGTATCCCAAAAATATGGCTGTCTTGATATAATTTCCTGTGAGAAAGATTTATCAAGAAATACCGGATCTATGGTGACTGAACACACTATTTATATACATTTTTTGTGCTCTTGCCAAACCATGCAAACTTCCACACGACGATAAAAAATTAAATCAAATTTACACGTATTTTAGCGCAATGAAACGCATGATAAACGTCCCACATGTCACAAAATTATCCTATTTACAGAGCAAATCACAAGAAAAACTTAGAAATTACAATTAGTAAAGTACACTTCAGTAGCATTAAGAAAAGTAAACGTCAAACCGACTATTAGATTCGAAATTAAACGCTTGAAAACAAATGAATCGCAAAACACTAAATTGCGGCATAAAATGGGGAAAAAACTAATTTCGTAGAATCTATCTGAAATCACGTATACAAGTACAATTCTCGATGAGATATTCAATGGTACAAACCACACGTCAGTCCGACTATTAGTTTCAAAATTAAACGCTTGAAAACTAATGAAGCCCAATACACGAAATTGAGGCAAAAAATGGGAAAAAACTAAAATTCTGCAACTATCTAAAATCACGTATACAAGTACAACTCTCGACGAGATATTCAATGGTGCAAACAAGACGTCATTCCGACTATTAGTTTTGAAATTAAACATATGAAAACAAATGAAGCCCAAAACACGAAATTGTGGCAAAAAATGGGAAAAAACCTAATTTCGTAGAATCTTTTTGAAATCGCGTATACAACTCTCGACGAGAAATTCAATAGTGCAAACCAGACGTCAATCCGACTATTAGTTTCGAAATTAAACACTTGAAAACAAATGAAGCTTAAAACATGAAGTTGGGGCAAAAAAAGGAAAAAACCTAATTTTGTAGAATCTCTCTGAAATCTCGTTTACAAGTACAACTCTCGACGAGAAATTCAATGGTGCAAACCAGTCGTAATCCGACTATTAGTTTCGAAATAAAACATATGAAAACAAAAAAGGCCCAAAAGACGAAATTGAGGCAAAAAGTAGAAAAAACCTAATTTGGTAGAATCTATCTGAAATCACGGATGCAAGTACAACTCTCGGTGAGAAATTCAATGGTGCAAACCAGACGTCAATCCGACTATTAGTTTCGATTTTAAACGGCATAAAATGGGAAAAAACCTTTGAAAACGTTTGAAAACAAATGAAGCCCAAAACACGAAATTGGAGCCCAAAATGAGAAAAAACCTAAATTTTCAGGATCTATCTGAAATTACGTATACAAGTACAACTCTCGACGAGAAATTCAATGGTGCTAACCTGACGTCAATCCGACTTTTAGCTTCGAAATAATACGCTTAAAAACAAATGCAACCCAAAAAACGAAATTATGGCAAAAAATTGCAAAAAACCTAATTTCGTAGAATATATATGAAATCACGTATACAATTACAACTCTCGACAAGAAATTCAATAGTGCAAACCACACGTCAATCCGACTATTAGCTTCGAAATAATACGCTTGAAAACAAATGAAGCCCAAAACACGAAATTGGGGGCAAAAATGAGAAAAAAAACCAAATTTTCAGGATCTATCTGAAATTACGTATACAAGTACAACTCTCGACGAGAAATTCAATGGTGCAAACCACACGTCAATACGACCAATAGTTTCGAAATAAAACGATTGAAAACAAATGAAGCTTAAAATACGAAGTTGGTGCAAAAAATGGGAAAAAACCTAATTTCGTAGAATCTATCTGAAATCGCGTATACAAGTACAACTCTCGACGAGAAATTCAATGGTGCAAACCAGACGTCAATCCGACTATTAGTTTCGAAATTAAACGCTTTAATACAAATAAAGCTTAAAACACGAAGTTAGGGCAAAAAAAGGAAAAAATGCTAATTTCGTAGAATCTCTCTGTAATCTCGTATGCAAGTACAACTCTCGACGAGAAATTCAATAGTGCAAACCACACGTCAATCCGACTATTAGCTTCCCCAAAACACGAAATTGGGGCCAAAAATGAGAAAAAAACCTTAATTTTCAGGATCTATCTGAAATTACAATACGTATACAACTCTCGACGAGAAATTCAATGGTGCAAACCACACGTCAATACGACTATTAGTTTCGAAATAAAACGCTTGAAAACTAATGAAGCTTAAAACTCGAAGTTGGGGCAAAAAATGGGAAAAAAAACTTAATTTCGTAGAATCTATCTGAAATCTCGTATACAAGTACAACTCTCGACGAGAAATTCAATGGTGCAAACCACAGGTCAATCCGATTATTAGTTTCGAAATAATACGCTTGAAAACAAATGAACGCCAAAACACGTAATTGGGGCCATAATTTCGTAGAATCTATCTGGAATCACGTATACAAGTACTACGCTTAACGAGAAATTCAATGGTGCAAACCAGACGTCAATCCAACTATTAGTTTCTAAATAAAACGCTTGAAAACAAATGAACCTCAAAACACGAAATTGGGGCAAAAAATGGGGAAAAACCTAATTTCGTAGAACCTATCTTAAATCACGTTTATAAATAGAACTCTCGTTGAGAAATTCAATGGTGCAAACCACACGTCAATTCGACTATTAGTTTCGAAATAAAACGCTTGGAAACAAATGAAGCCCAAAACACGAAATTGGAGCAAAAAATGGGAAAAAACTTTATTTCGTAATTTCTCTCTGAAATCACGTATGTGAGTACATATGTCGACGAGAAGTTCATTGGAGCAAACCAGACCTTGATTTGATTATTAGTTTACGTAGTACGTGTGAAATAATTATGTTCCTGAATTCTTAAAAGTGGTGGATATTTTGGAAAAAAATTAATTTTTGTCGCTTCTTTCTGCAATCATGTAAGTGAGTACATCATTTGAAGACATGTTTAATGGAGCAAGCCAGATTTCAATCCGATTATTATTTTTCGAAATGCACGTGATACAAAGTTTGCCCGTGTTGTCAAATTTGGAGATAGATTTGGCAAAAACTTGATTCCTTCGCTTCTTTTTGAAATTACGTATGTGAATACATCTTCTTACGAGAAGTTCAATGGAGCAAACCCGACTTGAATGCGAATATTAGTGTACGAAATACGAGTGAAATAATTATGTGCCTGAATTCCCAAAAATGGAGGAAAATTTGTCAAAAACTTAATTTCGTCGCTTCTTTCTGAAATTACGTATGTGAGTTCATCTCTCGACGAGAAATTCAATGGATCAAACCAGACTTAATCCGACCGAAGGAAAAAAACACTTTTTTGTCAGCCGGGCACTCTCTTACATGTATTGAAGTTATAATCTCAACTTGAATTATTTGTAGTTATTAAATAACTATCTCTATAGTATCTATCTATCTATCTATCTACACACACGCGCACGAACACATTATATATTCGCTCTAAATCCTCTAAATCTGTTTTCGTAATGTCTTTTTTTGTTTGCGCAGGCGTTATCTAATTCCTTGTTCTTCTATCCCCCCTCTCCTCCCGCTCTTTTCTGACTCGTCCCACAAAACGAACTTTTCTCACTCGCCGCTGCTCGCGGCGGTGTAAAATTCAAAACTCGAACCCGAAACGCGTTATGTACCTTTTCTGGGGCATTGTGTATGGTAGCACTTCTTTAACTACATACAATGGAGTTTCTAGGGCCCCTGGGAACTTTTTCGCCCTAATCGAGCCTGTTTGATTCTTTCGCGTTATTGATTCGTTTCTTTCGCTCTCGTAAAAAGGAGCCGTTTCCGGCGCTGACAGGCGACAACGCGGAATGCAGACCCGGAAGCGAAGGAAGTTCTCGTTGGCACAGGCAGTTGCCAGAAAATTACTGCCGCTGTTCAAGCACCCCAGCGGGGACTTCAAGCAGTCTGAAAGGAAACTCCTGAGTGAAATGCTAGCTATCAGAGCCCTCCTCACTGCCGCCAAACAGGCGGAATTTCGTTGCTTTGCTTTTGGTGGCCAAGAAAAGTGTTTGAGCTCACAAAACGTAATGTGGGAATATTAAGATGGTTTAGAAATTACATTTAAGTGTTCTAGGCAGAGTGATTTGTACCTGTTTTGGTATTCAGGAGAGATCTTTGCTACGAATAAATTTACTTACTTCATTCCTCACATGTGGTGTCTTTGTTAAAATGTTTACTTTCTTGCAACATCAATCCTGATCTTTAATCATTAGCTTTATTTCGGAAATAGTAGAACCCATTACTATGTAGTTAATTTCGTACATCCCTTACGCAATTTTTTTCTTATTTACTAGGCGCTCTTGGTTTCTAAACATAAACAATTTTCATTCTACTGCTCCATAAGGTGTCATTTGAAACATGACTTATACACTTTCTCGATAACCTCCGAGAAAATAATAACTAGAATGATCATTAATAAAAAGTGGTTGAAACAAAAGCAATTAACGTCTTGAGGCCGATGTAGAGCAAATGACGAACTGGTTGAAGTTCGTAATCAGAAGAGAGAGCGGACGATTATAGACAACCGCATCCGGTTTTTGTTTCATGGAGCGTTTGTAGTTGAACCCTTTTCGTAATACCTTCTAATAAAAAATAAAAATTACAAGTGCTTTTTCTTTAAAAAGTCTCATACGCCATATTTTGATACAACTCGCTTGTTTCGACTGACTTTAATGGACGGTGCACTGTAAAAATCGGGTTAAGAACGGGCTTTCCTACAGTTTTAAAAAATTATGGTCGTGTCAGAACACTGAACCATTTATTACATCTTTATATTAACAACAGCTGCTTGTAAAGCTGCACGGAGCATTTAAATAATTATTTGCAAATAGCTGAAAAGAGAAGTATTGAATAGTTGGTCTAGAAAAACAATATTTACTAATAAATTGAGCCTCTCGAATGTGTTTTTCATTTTCGTAAGTTGGCAATAGATAATACAGGTTTGGTTGTCTTTGGCGCCAGTACTTCTCTTTATATCTGGGCTGAATATTAGTCCACATTGTTTACATTCAAAGTTAATTGTCATCAAACAGTTCGTGGTTGTATGGTGCAATATTGTAAGTTAATGCGGCTTTCTACGAATTTCTGGTTTTTCTACGGTTTTCTCACATCATGCCTCAAGAGAAATAGTGCTGGCCAAAGCATGATTTGTGCAGCGTGGCTCTTAGGCCGAGAGCCAGTACTGAATTTCGAAGCAGCTTTTTATAAATTACTCCTCAGAACGATCGGCGAGGTATTTTACATTTAGTATTATCTGATTCTTTAAATCAAATACTGCATTGTGATTAAAAGAAAAAGACACCTTCACCGTATAACTTGTTCAATAACTTCAAGAAACCTACGCTCGCGAAACTTTTTCGATAAGTAGCTGAACTTCTTTTATTCAAAAATTAGGCCGTGAAGAACAGATTTTACTTCAATTGCAAGTATCTTTGGGGGTACTTAACCGTGGTCGATCTAACGAACACACTCAAGAGCTAAGCCGATGCGCTGTGCGAGCGCGCGTGCGTGCGTGCTTGGGCCTTGCACGGCTGCCTCCGCCGCGCAGCAGCACGCGCCAGCACCCGTGTATGGCCCACGGCCGCACGCGTGTACGCACGCGCACATGGCGGCATCTGACGGTCGGCGGAGCGTGGGATTCGACGTCATTCACAGGTCGAGGCGACCGTCATGTAGGCACTTGCGGCGCCCTAGAGACCTGCTGGCTCAAGATTCCGCGCTTCCTGGACAGCTCGGTGCGAGGTACGCGTGGGCCTTGCACACAGATGATCAGAGACCGACTGCATCGTAGGTGTTTGCCCGGTCACTTCTTTTTTGATGTCATCTGTCACAGAATAAACAATGTTGCCAAAACTGTGAAATGAAGCGGTGGTTACAAAGGAAGATGGTTATTATCTTAAAACATACACATTTCTTACAACTGGCTCTTTCAATGTGTTACTTCAAGTATATTAGCTTCCTGGAGCAGGTTCATTTTAGATGAGATATTTCACAAAGTTACGTGTCAAAGGTATTCATTCTCACTTCGTGAATTAAAGTATTTAATCTGTATTTTGAAACTTTTGAAATCTGTATTTGGATTTATTTTACAAATTCCTAAGGTAATGCATATTTTCAAAAAAGCGATTCTCTGAAGTTAATTTATACTCGTACATTTACAACAAAACGGAAAAATTTTATTAAAGTGCTAGTAAAATCTTAACTGAATATCAGATATATGCAAGTAATTTTTCTTCTTGACGTCCAAACTTAGCCCAAAACAAAGTAGATTTCATTATCACGATAGAATGGATGACCTAGGCGCATTCGTGTAAATACGAGTAATTTCTTTGAAACACTAAGGAAGGTAATTTCAACTACTGAAGCTGACAATGTCTTAATTCTTCTGCGTCTCTTTTGCACTTGCTAGGACTTTGCTAGGTTGAACAAGTTGTCTCGAGGTGACAAATGGTTGCAAGTCAATATACCGTTGGTTTGAAAATTTCAGAACACTGTTTTTAACGAAAAACAAAGTAAATGAATGCTAATGACTGTCCCCATTGCCTACATTTAGTCTCACGCTGCCATTAAAAATATTTGAAAAAACTAATTATGAGTAGTTTTCAAAACAAGAGATCGTATAATGGCCACGAACATACCAAAATATATAAAGAACACGCTGACGAACCACTGCACGATAAGACACGCGCTTTCCATGTGAACCACACCATTTCTACATGATCAGTTATGTTGATGTATCAATAGCGTTGTTCTCGTCGTTCAGAATATGATTTACTGGATAATTGTAAATTCATAGTGATGTGCAAGTGACTCATGGCAGTCATATTTTACCCACAATTTAAAAGTACGAAAGTTTATATTGGACCTTATCTTTAAGTTAGGAAGAATAAGAAGTAGAGGATATATTCTTGATTATTTTTAGCGGTAGATAATGAAATCTCTGAAAATGAATAATATTGATCTCATTTTCAAAGAAACCTTTAATTTTCCAGAAACTTCATAAGAAATCATTTGAAGTTCTTTTAATCAGGAAAACAATAAATTATTATAAAAACGCAAGTATAGAACAAATAAACGACGTTAGAAATATTTTTAAACAAAGCATTTGAGTAATTTGTGAAAAAACAACGAAAGGTATTAATAATGCACAGTAAACTTTGGGTGGAAAATTGCTCTTTATACTCAATTTTAGCGAAAATTACTAAAATGTTTTAAAAAATGAACGTGCTACTGAAATGTTTTAAATAACTGTTAAGAAAATTTTAATTTAAACAAAACATTCTGTCTTCTAAAATGTTTAAGAGACAAGTTGTACAAGGGGGCCAAAAATGGATTCTTTCGCAATTTTCGAATATCCAGGGTAACAGTGTAAATCATACTGGCATCATCTTTATCTATGTATTTCACTCTAGTTTAACGAAAAAATTAAAACTAGTGGTGCGACAGAATGGCACAGATTTTCCCGTATTGGTTTTCTATTTCCTTCCGTTTCGGTTAGCTATACGAACTTGCCACGCCAGCTGCAATCGCCACCAGGAAAATACAGTTTTTGGAATATACATTTTTTGAACAATACATCTGGACAATACATTTTTTTTAACTTTTCTTCAATTTTTGAGTTTTCTAATAATAGAACGTAAATATTATTTTGAGAATATTAAATAACAGTAAATAGCGTCCTAAATGGCAATTTTCGTTGAAAAATTTGGAGCCGATTTTAAGAAAATAACTCTTAAGCGACCCTCTAAATTCGAAATTTGAAGCACTTTTTTACAGAAAAATTTGAGTTTTAGAAGAAGTCATTTGAATAATTTGAAGTCATTTGAATCACTTTAGATCACAAATACAATACTGTTTACAATTTGCTGTAAATGTGCATATTACTGCTGTGATAAATCTTTAAAAAAATTACATTTGTGTAATTTTTGTAAAATCAAAAAACATTTCAATATGAACTTTACGTCATATTAAAGAGTGAAATTAGCACTATCGGTTCGAAATGGTTGAAGAAACAATTTTAGCCGTTTTTGAGAAAATGGCGTTTGAGCGTTTCTGAAAATGCGAAATTTTGAGCTCGTTTTCACGGAAAACGGTAGGGTTTTCGAGAAACTATATCTGACATTATTTTAACACATGTACTCATAAATATAATAATTTGAGTAAATTTCCGATAGTGTAAATATTAAGGACTTGGGAGATAAGTCAAATGGATTAAATTTTTTGTAATTTTTAAAAAAACAAATAATAGAGCAATATGACGTTTATGTCATTTCATAGAGTGCATTTAGCACGTTCCCTACCAAAAGTTAAAAAAAAGTGAAGGCGTTTTTAAGAGAATCTTCTTTTTGTAACTTTTTTAAAATTGCACATATTGCACGCAACTTGCGTGAATACTACTAAAATGTTCAAAAAATGTGCAAGACCTGAATAAAAGAAGAAGATGTGGACAAGAAATTGTATTTGGAGGAGAAATGCTTATCTTTAATTTTGTAGTTGTAGGAAGACCCCAAAAAATTTTAACTTTTGAAATTTTCGAAAATTTAAAGTTAACCACGAAAATCGGACATGTGTAACATTTATAAGTGCATTTTACTCTTTTCTCACAACAAATTTAAAGAAAAAATTTTTTTTCTTTAAATTTCAAATTAAAATTAAAATTCCAAAAAAATTTGGAGCCGTTTGTGAGAAAATTTTGAAAGTGTCCTAGAGACTTCATGTAAAGTACCCCCAAAAACTAATGAATGATTTTCAAAATCGCAGATCTTCGACTCAGGCCAAATTGACAGAATCTTCCTACGTTCACTCTAGGCGCTAGAGTTGTTCACATACAACAAACAGACAGACGGACGTTTTGAAGAAACGACTTTTTCGGTATCAGGGAACCCCAAAACATGTATTTCCGTTTAAAAATCTCGAAATCGATTTTCCGCAGCATTACTTAACTTTTCCTATACTACATGTATTAGAATTATATTATACTCCGTCCCATTACTCCTGCTATATACGTACGTATACGTGAAAGTAAACATTGGACCCCTTTTTTAGTAAAATGTCGAAAATGTACCAGGGGTTTCATGTGAAGAACCCACAGATTCAAGTACTTTGTTTTAAATACATAGGGTCTTGACTAGGACAAGATAGATAAAGAACTATTAATTTAGGAAATAACTCTGATTGGTTTATGTTAACCGCTGACGCTGCTCTCAGACCGACAGTGGACTGACGGACAGAGGGACAGACGTACAGATAGACAGACGGATATTTTGAAATAAAACAACATAGTTTCGCTATTAGTAGACCTCAAAAATAGACCCGCATATGGGGACGTATATGATAAAGAAAAATGAAAATAGAATAATTTAATTTGTAGTATTGTTTGATATAGAGTCATTTCATTCTTCTCTCCACATTTCTATTTCAAATGTTTTGTCCTAAACGTGACATATTCTTAAGGTAAATTACAAGGGAGGGAATAGTGACTGATGGGAGACGTTCTTGCTGTGCCTCCCCAGTTGCGCTTGGCTGCGCCCTTCTCCTGACTGGCGCCCCACCCCCGCCCGAGGGCGCGGAGCCTTGGACGGCA